TGCTCAGCGCCTTTTGCATGAAGATGGCGGCTCCCACCGCCAGCAAGGCAGCCTCCCTGGGCTGTAACAACAAGCCTCCGTTCCCGGAGCTGGATTTCAGGTCGGGAGCTCGGGTAGAGGAATTGAACAAACTCATCCAAGAATTCACCAAGCACGACCAGCGGGAATACGACGACCAGAGAGCGCTGGAGATTCACACGGCGAAAGATTTCATCTTTTCCATGCTGGGTAAGGAGGGAAAGGAGGAGGAGGTGTGAGCGTGTGCGTGTGTGTGTGTGTGTGCGCGCGCGCGCGACGGGCAAGGGGTAGGAGACCATGCCCCCTGCCCGCTGGTTGTCCTTACTGGAGCCCAGGGCCCTGGGGACCCATCTGCGTCCCGCCTCTTCCCTCGTCCCTGCCTTCCCTCCGCGGACGGTACTGGGAGCCCAGGCTGCCGTATTGTACCTCCCGCTTCTTTGGCTCCTTGGTGACGGTCTTACCTGCCCGGGGTTGGTAGGCAGGTGAGGTGTTCGTGGGGACAGCTCTCGGTGTCCGGGGGGCAGCCCCTGGACACAGCCGCGTCCAGGTGCCACGCTGCGGCGCCTTTGGGGATTTGGCTCCTGGAGCCTGGGACCTGCGCCTCCTGGCCCGAGCTCCGCTCGCCAGGACAGCTTGGGGCGCTGGCTGGGCGCCCCAGCGACCAGTTGCTGCCCGCGTCTAGTTGCGCGGCGCTGGCACGCCGAGCCCCCGTGCCAAACTTGTTGGGTGTTCCGAGTAGCCCGTCGGAGTGGGCTGGGCGCCTGGAGTTCCTGCAACTTCGGTTTGCGAATCGACTTCCCTGTGAAAGGATGGGAAGCATTTCCGGTGCTCCTCTCAGCTGCCCGTGGAGTTCGGACTTGCTAATTCCCAACTCTTAAAACGACCAGGCTCGGAGAGCTGACCTGGACGTGCACTGGCCGGTTCCTCTTTGTGTATTTTACCTGCCTTGAGGTTCGAAGCCAAGAGATGGGGGTGATAAGGAAATACGTTGACCCCCCTATTCTCAAAGTGACAACTATGGGTCCTTAAACTGATTGTAAAGGAAAATCAGCCAGACCTGGAGGGGGGGGGGTGTCGAACCTCTCCAGGGGTCCTGCCTTTGGGAGCCTCGGATGCAGCTTGCTGGGGTTCCACGAGGGGAACCGAGGCTATGGATTCACGGCCAGGACCCCGAGAAGTAGCGCTTCTCCCACGGCGGCTCTGTGCGAGCGCTCTCCATTCCAAGCCTTGGAGAATTCGATTAGAAAGAGCCTCGTGGCCAAAGAGGAAAATTGACCGTCTTGCCTTTCCTCCTTCCATCTACTTCCTTCCAGTCCGTTATCCGTGGTTGCGGGCGTATCTACCTGGATGGAATCTCTTCCTTCCGTCTAGGCTTTCTTCTTCCTCACAGCGCAGGTAGGGGTAATAGGCTTACAAAGCGAACTCCAGGTCGTCCTTAGTAAACGCTCCGGAAGTTGAATAAAACAGATTAGAGTTTGAGGGTTTGTGCCACTCACCCCTACTGTATAGCCTAGGTTGTGTAGGGGATTGGAAAGCTCTCTGTTGGTATTTTGGACTATTCAACTCTTTGAATTAATTTTTGAAATGTTTAAGCAATTCCTTGCGTACGTTCATCAAGCATTTTCGGATCTGAAAACCAGTGCAGTAATTGTCAGGAAGGTGGGAGCACACGGAGAGGGCTCAGAGGCAGTTATTTAAGTTGCTTAATCATGGCCTTTCTCTTTGGCATAGCTAATGGAAGTCTACAGACGTACTATTATCTCCAAAGTCAGGATAGCTAGGGATCAGAAAATGGGAAGATGTGGGGATGGGAAACTTTAGATGCCCGTCTTCTTAGAAACTTATGCCAGACATACATGATACACCGAACCCACAAAGCTTTTACCCAGATATAAAGGATGCATTATCCTAGTTCCTTTAATTTGAAAGTGTGTGGCATCTGTTATCAGGTAAATGAAATCGGCTTCTATTCCTTTTTCACTCCGCTGACCTTGCAAGAGAAGTCTTTCTTGCCTCCTGGGAATTTGCTGTTTCCACCTGCGGGAGAGAACATTCAGGAGCGTGTCTTTGAAGCCTCCAGCCCTCTGGACACCAGAAGGCAGATGGCGAAATGAGCCTGCGGCCTGTGGCTGGAGCTGCATTCATTGCCCACTTCCTTGCTGGCTGCTCCACACAAGTGATGGTTTGGTGACAGCAAGGATCCCCTGGTGGATTAACTTTTCTAAAGCAGATTTTTGCTTGACTTAAACAGCAACGTCTCTTTTTGTGCACTTTGTTTCACTTGCCACGGCTTGGGTTTTTAATGAATATGGGAATGCGGTGTCTTAATGCATGCCATGCTGGTATATGAAGGTGTCAATGGAGTAACACCAGGCCCTCATTTCTGGATCTTGTGTCAGGGCTGGGGGAGGTGGAGAGTCGTCCTGGCCTTTTTTCTGGCTGCACCCGAGGATTGTGAAAAGCTTAAAAACTTCATCCCCATCAAGCAAATACAATGTCAGAGTCATTTGGTACAAGCTTCTTTAATGGAGCTGTGGGTAGCACTTTCTCCCTCCTCCCCGCTCCTTTTGGGAAGCCCTGGTGACGCAGTGGGCTACACATCGGACTGCTAAACACAAGGGTGCCAGTTCGAAACCACCAGCTGCTCCATTCCCCAGGAGAGAGATGAAGATTTCTGCTTCCTTGAAGAGTTACAGCCTCGGAAACCCAGAGGCAGTTCTACTCTATCCTGTCCTATAATAGTGTCGCTAGGAGTTAGCATTGACTTGATGGCAGTGAGTTTGGGGTTTTGGTGACCTGGAGACTAGAAGGTCACCAACACTGCTACCTACTCTGCTGTGGAGAGGAGCCTTCCTACCCCTTTCCCACTTTGCAGCCCAACACCAGGCAGCTCTGTTCACTTAGCGGCAGTGGGGTTTATTTATTTTATGGGGCAGTGCTGCCGGGGCAAGTCCCAGCCAGGCATAGATGGTTTGTACTTGCTTACCGACCTAAAGGTTGCCAGTTCGTCCTCCCTCAGGGGCTCTAAGGGAGAAACCGTGTAATGCAATGTACCGGGTTTACTCTGTAGCCCATGCAATCAGCTTGAGTTGCCTTTTTTTTTGTGTGTGCATGGGGTGGGGGGGGTGTGGGGTGAGATGGGAAGCAGCCACTGGCTTTCCGTGTACGGTTGACAGCCTGGGCTGCCTCCCAGCTGCAGATGCCCAGATCGTTTTCATTTTGTATAGCGCAAAGTTGTCGTAGACTGGCTCCATAATCAATGACCTCTCAATGCCAAGAACCCTGACCACATCCTGGATGGATGTTGGGACTGCTCTGAGGTCCCCATTTGTGATTGCTGTGGTCACCAATGGCCACTGTGGTCTTCATGACCTCTTCCAACATTTTCTTTTTGTTCGGGGCCTCTGTTTCCTTTGGAGACAGGTTTTAGCTGGTATCACCTAGACCCACGCCTTAATTCTGTACACCTTGGTCTTTCAGAGAATGATTGCTGTTATTTTCTGGTTAATATTTGAGAGCCCCAGATTGTGTGGCAGTGTGTAATAAACACCATTTATCAAAATTCAGGGAAATTGCCGGAGTTCATTAATGTTTTAATAATATTTGGTATTTGCATAATGGCTCTGCCAGCTCTTTTGTTATCTTCATTCCTGGCGAGGTCGACAGGAGACTGGTTGTGTCCCCATTGAACAGATGCAGAAGAGGGATATTGTCTATCATTTGTTCAGTGCCTTCCTGGGGTCAGGAACTAAGCCACCTGCAGACTTAGGAAAAGGGACTACTTTCCCATTACACAGGTGAGGGCACTGAATTCAGTGGGGTCAGGAAGCCGCCAGGGTCGTGTGGCAAACTAATGGTAGGGATGTTGCAAAAACACAGGTTTTTCTGACCTGAGATTGGAAGGACAATTACTTCCCGTTCTTTCTAAATCATTCTTCTGACTGATGATCTGAGATCTGTTCCTTTTCTCTTACCGGAGACTTAACGATAAACCCAATCCATTGTTGTCTAGTAGATTCTGACTCAGAGCTTCCGGTTGGGCACGGGAGAACTGCCCCATTGAATATCTGGGGTGGTAAATCTTTGAAGAGACAGTCGACTGCCTCTTCATTCTCCCACCAAACAGCTGGAGAGTTCAAACAGCTGACCTTTTGAGTAGCTGCCAAGCTGCTTAACCACTGCGCCACCAGGGCTCCTCCACTAACTATAAGACCAAATCCAAACCCACCGCCATTTGAGTTGATTCTGACTCATGGACCCAGAACTCATGTTCTAATGCTGTAAAGGGCACAGTCAGCCTCATCTTTCTGCTGAGGAGCATCTGGAGGGTTTGAACCACCAACCTTGCAGTTAGCAGCCCTGGCAGCGCCACCAGGGCTTCTTACATGTGAAATCTATAGGTGAGACTTTGCTTTAGGAAAGAGAATTGCTTCCTGTTTGTGCGGAATTTTGTTTCTTATTTCAGCTTTCAGTATGGGTGGACGATGCACAACGCCTACAATAGTTGCTGGAGGAGTGTGGGTTCAAATACTGTATTTCTTAATGTTGTTGCTTCAGTTGCTATGGAAGTAGCGGTGAGTCTTGCACAACAACAGACATGGCCTGGCCCTGCAGCGTCTTCCTGATTGTTGGCATGTTTGAGTTGATGTTTGTGGCTGTTTAGTTCCTTCCCAACCTGGGGGCTCATCTTCTCACACTATTGGTCAGTCTTCTGTTGTGGTCCATACAGTTTGTGTTGGCTAGTTTGGGGAGTAGGCTCGCAGGCTTTTCTCTGTAATCGATTCTAGTCTGGAAGTTCTGCTGAAACCTGTCCAACCATGGGTGACCCTGCTGGTATTTAAAATACCAGGGACGTAGCTTCTAGCATCACAGCAACACACAGGCCACCCCTATTGGCCCAACTGACAGACAGGCAGTGATATTCCTTAATGAGATCTTTTTGGGGTTTTTTATTGAGGAAATCATGGTTAAGAAATATTAAATGTTCCAGGTTCAGTGCTGCTTCTTGCTGACGGTGTGCTCTTAGTTTTCTCATCTATTAAACATGGCTGATAGTGATGGCTCATTTCAGAATTGTGTGCAAATGTAAAATTGCTTTCTAAAGGGAAAGTGAATGTATGTACAAGATGTATTATTTATTTAAAGAAATCCGCTTGATTAGAAAATGTAGTGAATTTGAGCAGGGATAATTTCTGCAGGCAGAACTGTGG